CTAAGGGCCTGTGACAGATGCTGGCCATGATAACATCAAGTGCAGAATGGGTAGAGAGCAGTACCAGGTCCCTCAGTCTGGGTTAAAGTACTTCTATGCCCACCACAACATAGGCTCTTTAGTCATTTCAGTGATACAGGAGAAATCTAAATCAAACAAGAGTACCCCTAAGGAGAAGGACACAAAAAGGGTCAACCTACTAGGGAGAAAATCTTACTCCTCTGTCTCATTACAACTCACTGTGGCAAATTGCCCAGCCTTCCTGGACAAATGGAACTTTTAAACCTGGTATAGAGTGATGCCCTTTCTCTGGAAATTCCCATATGACAAAGGGGGCGGGAGGACTCAGGAGAACAATCAAGGAAGGCCAGTTGGAGGCCAAGATGGCTACACAGGTGGCAATGGGCACCTCCAACACTGAGGCCAGATCTATGGCATGGCAGTGACTACACATTGAGTATCCTGGCTCCAATCATCAGGCATCCCTAGGGAGGTACATGTAATGATCAAGGACCTGCCCTCTGAGGGCAGTGAATTATTTAGCAAGTGAGCTGATAGCACTCTCTAAAAGACTGAAAGGTCACATTGCACTCCTTGGGGATTTACACACCAGCCCTATATCTCAAGCCATGCTGTCCTCAACCCAGTCACGATAACAGGTGCCATGTTATCACTCCATGTAACCTGAGTATCATGCCAAGAAGATGATGTACAAGAGGAGTCTCCAGGCTTCTTTCTCCTCAGTGATGCATCCTACTTCTGTGGCACAGCAACAAATTTGACAGGACTCTTGGGAGCCACATCAAATCCAGGCCAGAAAGCACCACCTTTGAAAGCGGCCTTACCCCATTCCAGCATTGGACGGATGCGTGTTGGAGATCATCACCCATGGCTATCTCATTCAGTTCCACTCTTTAACCCTACTGTTTACCTACCACCCTTCAGGGACCCTTCTCACAAGCAGGGCTTTGGAGCTGTGCTTCAGCTCCGCTCCAGCTCCAGGCAAAAACCTGCAGCTCCACTGCTCCGCGCTCCAGCTCCGGGCTCTGCTCCAAAGCCCTGCTCACAAGAGCCTGTTACAAGCAGAAGTCACCTCACTGGGGAGCCATAGAGGAGGTGCCACCACAATTCAGGGGGAAAAGGTTTCTACTCCCTGTATTTTCTGATTTTGAAGATGAAAGAGGGTCTTCATCCTATCCTAGACCTAAGAAGATTCATCAGATCCATACATCATCTCAGGTTCAGGATGGTAACACTTGCCTCCATCATTCCATCTCTTCAAGCTCAGGACTGGTTCATGGCTCTGAACTTGCAGGATGTGTACTTCCAAATAACCCACAGGAAGATTCTAAGATTCACAGGGGGGCCCAACGATTACTAACCCAGGAGCCTGCCTTTTGGACTCCCCCTGGCAAGCGTATTTGTAAAATGCCTGGCAGTGGTGGAAGCACACTTAAGGAGAAAGGGAATTCACATCTACTTATGCCTGGATGGTTGGCTGATCAGGGGCAAATCCCAGAGGAGACCACAAAGGTCCTGCACTATATCTTCTAACTGTTCTCCAGACTGGGACTCCTTGTGCACTATGAGAAGGCACTCAGATACTCCTGTTGTGATTATTGAACCTACTAAGTTACTCTAAGCTCAACTATAAAAAGTATGTAGAAGTTCATAAAATGTTACAATAAATGTGAAAAATAGGTCAAGCTGTTTACAATGACGAATGTGCAAGAAAACCAGACCAAGAAATTGTATTAGTCCAAACAATGTGCTACTAATATAAGTCAAGGACCGTGTTGAGATCATACTTAGGTAAATTTTTTCTGTTTACCATGTCAACTTTGGCCTTACGGAAACAGATTTAATTGGTGGACAAAACAATGAGGACAAAATCTGCCCTACTTTTACTCCTTTTTGGGGTCCTTAAAAAGAGACTGAAAAAAAGAATCATCTTCCCCCAGCTCATCTCCTGACTTACCAGCAGTTGGTAACTCAACTCATCTTGACATATCTAAAGAACTTTCTTCCTGAGAGGAAGGTTGGCTGGGCTTGCTCTTGTTTAAGGAACTTTGTTTTCACTTGTGAGTCCTGGAAGTTATCCCACTATCATGACATCCAGTCCTCAGCCCAGCAGTGAGGATATCTAATTGCCAGCACGGCAAAAGCACATAAGATCCTGTATAGTAATCCCTTCCCTTGTTGTATAACTTTCTGCCTTCCGTTTCTTTCCTCCTATCCTGTCTCGCTCTCTTGAATTTTTGAATCCTGAAGTCAAATATACTGCACTCATCCAAACCTGCCTTGTCTAAAGAGAAAGGATCCAACCAGATGATGGCCCTCACCAGATTGTAACTAATCAAGGTTCAAGCAGCAAGTGTCTTGGTAGACTTTCCAGCCAAAGCATCCACTTGTAACTAACTAGCAGTCCCGTGTTCCAAAAATATCAACAAAAGCCATGTTTCACCCATCTTTTCTCTCCTGTCTTTCCTTACCTTGTGTCTGTGAATGCCCTGCACATCAGGACTAAGAATAAAATTAACCGTTTCCTTTTCATCAATGAAAAGTTGTTCTTAAACTAAGAGACTCTGATACTTTAACTCCAAAAGGAAAGAGACTTTAATAAAATCTGAAGTTTGTTTTGCATAATCACTCAATCACAGTGTCAGTATAAATGGTTGTTTTAATTTCCTGTGGGTTTCTGTGGGTGTATTTAATCAATAAATTTTCAATATAAATAGATGCTTTTAGGTGTTTGCTAAATAACCGGGTAAAACCAAGGTCTCTATTTAATATTAGCCCTGAATCCCCTATCTATCACTGTTTCATTGTAGATAGTGAAAGTGTTTATAAATGCCTTTAACTTTTTAGGCCTTTGAAATTTATATCGATATAGCACTCCCTCCTTTCACTTCATTATTTATATGGCAAGTTAATCCCATGTGATGTTCATTCTCTTATCCGCTCCTCAGGGAGAGAAGTGTGTGCAGTGGCATTTCTTGTTTTGGTAAGGTTTTTGTTTTGTTTTAATATATATATTGCTCTGTATTTATGTTAGAAAAGGGCAAGATCAAAGAAATGCACCTTGTACTTGGAGCAGAGGGTGGTGAGGTTTGTGATGGTTCTTAGTTCCTGGGGGAATTCATTGGACTGACCCTGGAGAAAGTTCTGTCTCCTGCACAGATGAGCTTTAGTCTTATTCTAGAGCATTCCACTGTGCCAGAGAACAGTAGTTGTTGACCACTGTCTTCATCCTGGAGTCGAAGATCTGAAATCCATAAAGCAGCAAAATAAAGCAATCCATTGACTTTTGTCAAGCATTATGCCCTTGATATGGCGGCTGGGCCTGATGCCAAATTCCAGTGAGCAATACTTCAATCATTATTTGACTAACACAGCTGGCAGTCCTCATTCCCAGCTTGCAGAGGGGATATTGCTTACTAGTCACAGTGTGGAAGAAGAAAGAATGGTTACATCCGCTACAGTAACTGTGCTTCTTTGAGATGTTGTACTCTGTGTGGACCCCACTACCTGCTCTCCATCCCTGCTCTTCAACGTCTGCAACAACATGAGCTTTGAATTGTGAAAGAAATGAGAGAGGGTCATGGCTGACCCACCCTTTATGCCCTCGTATGGGAGCACACGGAGGCACATGGTGCATGTATAGCCCCGACAGACACTGCTATTCAAAAGAATCCAATCTCACACACAAGGCACACCTGCACCCTACAGTCGGATCCACATTGACTACAACGTTTTGAAGAACCACAGTTGCTGTAGGATACGTGGCCATTCTCTCCATGTTGTAACATTGTTTTTTTATGGGAGAAGTTCACGCAGTAACATAGAAGCTCTGGAAAGCCTCCTGCGGCAGAAGACTTGTGCTCGTCTCCTGCTGGGTGAGCAGCTGTGTTGTGTGATCATGTGGGAAAACTAGACTCTGATCCCAGCAAGAAGAGTGAGCCGGTGCAACAACAGGGTTATAAGGCTGATAAGTCTGCTATTTTGCAAATCCAGTGGGGAAAAAAATCCTTTGTTGGGGGGCGGGGCGAGGGCTGCATGGATCCCAGTCCCTATTCCAGCCCATCTGGATTGTTGAGTGAATTCCATTCCTCCCCGGCCCTATGTCGCTCCATCACACAAAGGCCATTTACTTGGGCTTTTTGCTGAATTTCACCTGGTTTGCAGCTCTCCGAGTATTTAGTGTAGAGCATTAGGGAAGATTGTACCCATTTGTTGGTCAGACAAATGAAAAATAGTGCATTAAGAAAGTGCCTTTGTGCAGCTGAGCACAAGTGGTTATTGGAGGTTCAGCCTATTAACATATATTTAGACCCCCTGTTCCACTTCCATCAAATAGGATCACCTTGCCATTAAATATGGTGAAGTGAAAGGAAGGAGAAAGTTTTAAAGCGAGAGCAGACAAAAGGAGATGGTATAAGAACAATTATTTGGCTGCCCCTCCCCCATATATCAACCACTCAAGGAGAAATAAGTTGCACCCCACAGCTGAATCCAGTAACAGGCATGTTGTCGCTGCATTTCCAGTGCTGGAAGGCATTCCGCCACAGGGAGGTGACGGGCTAGAATCTTGTCTCATTTACACCAGAAACTCCACTGATGTCAAAAGAATGACTCCTGCTTTACATCAGTGTAACTGAGACCAGAATCTGGCCTCGTGACCTACACTTTTAAATCTGTTGTTAAACAGATGTTTACAACAAAAGTATGTAATGTTATTTTGATACAGCTAAAAGTCCCATCGGAATATGAAAAACGATTAGCTGCTTAGCACCTTGCAGGCTGTTTTTTTCAAAATGCAGTGACTGGTAATCTAAATAGCTGTGCTATTTTCTGAATGACTAATGGATGGTGTTTTATACGTCTGAATAAATGGAGCAGTACATGTCGTCATTACATTTTTACCATAGATTAAATTATTGTAAGCAATTTAGTGCTAATAGTGCTGATGACACTAAAAACATTGTAATGTAACCTTTCAGAATCACTTTATTGAACAAAATGTCAAACCATCTTTTTCAGTCTTCCCAAGTAGATTCATTTTCTCAGTCTCAACTGACGGCTCAAGAGAGCAATCATCTGGGATCTAGCAAAGTCTTCCGTCAGGTACGTGAATCTTCCATCAATGTTAAAGAATGTCCTGCTGCTTGTTTTCCAGGAGAGCACCTCACATATAATAAACCTAAGTAGATGGTTTCCCACAATGGGGGGCGAGACAAATAGTCCTTTTCTTCCTCACCTTCCCTCACTCTGCAGCTGTGGAATTTTGTGTCTAGCACCTGTGAGCAGTCTGTGGTTCCACTAGTCATTCAGTAGTATTTTGAACTATGTCTGCTTCACACTGGGGGACAAACATCCTCCCCCCGCGCCGTATGTTCTCATGGGAAACTCTATGAGTTTCAACTCTAAGAATTTCCAGTCCCTTCCATTGTATTTCCTGTGAAAGGAACAACTTATTCATCTCAGGAGCTTGGTTTGGGTTTTTTAAGAAAATACAGGAAAAACCCCTTGTCATTATAAGCGCCATAGGAACCAGACTCTCTCCTTCTTCAGAGCTTTGACATTCTACGGGAGTATAAAACTTTCAACACATAATCCATGGTCCTGATCCTGCTAATGATAGCACACAGGCAATCTCTTTCAGGATCGGAACCTATTTTTGCACTCAAATCTGTCTACAAGAGGAAGGTTACCAAATATGGTAGCTCCCACCAGTCACAAAAGTTATTACCACACACATCAATAACTGAGTTTAAAGCACTTGTGATGCAGCAGTGTTTTGCAAATAACAAAAGGACCTAGACCTGGACACACAAAAGGCGTTAGGCACCTAAGTCCCTTTTTAGGCACCTAAGTCCCAGTGCGATACACAACTCTCATGGAACCCTGTAGGCACCTAAACTCACTCGGTGCCTATATTTTGGCCTATGGGCATTTGCACTGTTGCCTCTTTCTAGGTTTTAAGACACCTATCCCCCGCCTAAACGTCAGAGTTCACAAAGCAGGGGAAGATAGGCATTTGGCTGCTTAAGTCACGTATGGGGTCCAATCCTGTAGGCATTCTCAGAGACTGCCTACTGGATCGGGCCCCTCAGGTGAGTTCACACAAAACTGGGGAGGAGGGATCTCAACCTCCCTCATAGCTTTTAGCCCAGTGATTTAGGTACTCACCTGGGATGTGGAAGACCCAGGTTCAAGTTCCCCCTCCACTTGGAGGAGGAGAAGGGATCTGAACAGGAATCTGCCACATCTTAGGTGAATGCTCTAGTCACTGGGATAGTTGGATGTGGGGCTCCCTCAGTCTCTCCTTTTGAAGGTATTGCACTCTGGATAAATAATGAGAGAGTCATTAGAGTGGGGAGATTGGATCCTCCCGCCTCCCAGATGAGTGCTCTAACCACCAGGCTACAGAGCCATTCTGATGTCATTGGGGGAGCGGGCAGGAGGAAGGAAGGATGGAGAGCGAGAGCGAGCAGAAGCATGAAAATGACTCTATAGTCTGGTGGTTAGAGCCAGGATTTTTTTTCTACACTTAACTCAGAAATTGCTGACTGAATTTTGCTCACATTTTCCAGAAAAAAATATAACATTTCGGCTGAAAAATGTATTGCAAAATTTCAACTCAGAAGGTGAAATTTAAAAAAAAGTTACGAGAAACTAAAATTAGGTAGTTCTAAGGAAACTCATGCCGTGAATTTATAGTGGAAACTAGTGCTGCTGTTTTAATGTATCTGTTCATCTATTAATAATTGTGTTCATGTACATTTTTTATACATTTTTGGCAAATCAATTTTAAAAGCATAGAAAAGTTATAGAGGTCACTCCTTCAAACTAAGCTGTTTTGTTAAAAAAATCTTTACCAGCTTGCCATGTAATTTTTATTTATTTGACTTCAGAAATTCAATAGCAGTGTTAGTTCACTCCCTCATCTGGAAGGCCAAACGAAGCACAATTTCATTGTAAATGCCGCCAGACCTCATCCACAAGACAGCAGCCTTCCTCACATAGCAAAGAACCTGCAGAATGTGCACCTATTGCTTCAGGTGAATTAAAGGACATTTTTATATGGAGTGTAGTTGTAGCCATGTCTGTCCCAGGATATTAGAGAGACAAGGTGGGGGAGGCAATATCTTTTATTTGACCAATTTCTGTTGGAGAGAGAGAGAGAGAGAGAGAGAGACCAGCTTTTGAGCCACACAGAGCTCTTTTTCAGGCCCTGAAGATATTATCTCACTCACCTTGTCTATCTGATTGTTAGACACTTTTGTTTCATGTTAACCAATTTGTTTCTAATGGAGCTCGTGGAATTTTAGCAAATCTGATTAGTGACCTATCTGGATGTTTGTATATGTGTAGATAGATATAATTTACTGAAGATTTTTTTTTCAGTTTCTATTTTCACTAGCACAGCTTCAGTTTAAAAAAAAAAAAAGAATTAGTGATGGGTGAATACCTAAAAGGTGTGGCAGCTAATTTGGGATATCCCCATAAGTTTTGATGATTATCCAAAGTTACTTCAACCTTTTGAAGTCATCTTCAGTGTTGGCATTTAAAAATCCAACCAGTTCCTTCTCTTCCTCATTCTTCCCAACTGCTCTGTCCTTCTCTGATCCCTGCTCTCTAAATTCCTGTCTTTTTTTCTTCAATAAATCAGATCTCTGATCTAAAGAGGTGACTCACATTCTTTATCTCTACCATGTTGATCCTTTTTCCTTTCTATCTTCGATGTTACTGTAACAAATCTATGGGTGGAGTCTCAGCAGATTTGGCAGGTTCTACTGGGCCCTGTTCTGATCTATCTTCAGATCTTATGGGCTAGAAGTATTTCTGGACATAGGAGCACCCAGGCAGTCAGCACCTATGTACAGAAAAAAATTAGTGGGTGCTTAGCACCACCGGCAGCAAGCTCCTCCCCTCCCCCCCAGCTCCTTCCCGCTGCCAGCAGCCCCAATTATCAACTTCTCCCCCTCCCTCCCAGCTGTTCTGCGGTGTGCAGGAGGCGCTGGAAGGGAAGGGGAGGAGCGGGGACGGGGCATGCTCAGGGGAATGGGCGGAAAGAAGTGGGAAAGAGGCAGGGCAGGGGCGGGAAGAGGCGGGGTGAGGGGTGGTTTTGGGGGAAGGGGTGGAGTGGGGGTGAGACCAGGTGCGGAGTGAGGATAGGAAGAGGTGGGATGGGGGTGGGGAGTTGGGGGAAGGTGTAGAGTGGGGGCAGGACCTGGGGCGGAGGAGGGGGTCGAGCACCCCCCGGGTAGAGAGGAAGTTGGCGCCTATGTTTCTGGATCAGAATTACCCCAGAATGCATTTTGCCTGAGATGCCATGGAATGCCTGGAGAATGCAAGCTTTATAAACAGCAGCTTGTTAGGTAGAGGTTTACTGAAACCCTGCCATGGGTTGTATAACCTGTTTAGAAATGTTTGCGTAAGGGTTGAGTGGAGCTCTAGGGCTCACAACAGCATACAGAATGGGGTAGAGAGGCTGCTTCCCTGAAATGATTCGAACTGTCAAAAATGTTAAATTTTGTGGCCTGATGCAGCCAAACATTCCCGCACAGACACGTGCTCAAGTCCATTGCAGTCAGTTCTTAAGTTTCAACTCTAAGAATTTCCAGTCTCTTTCCTAGCATCTTCTGTGAACAGGTTAATTTACTAATCTAAGGGTTTGGGGAGATTGTTTTGTGTTTTAAGAAAACACTTAAAAGCCATTGTTATAAGAAGATATGTAGAGGCCAGACTCCTTCCTAAAGCAAGGCTTCGAAATTCCACAGGAGTGTAAAACTTCCAATATACAAATCGTGTTTAAATGCTTTGGTAAATCAGGGCCCCTGTTAGGATGGAGGTTCGAGCCAGCGTTCTTTTGTTTTGTTTTTTTCTAAACCCGTTTGCTCAAGCTTAGAAGTAAAGAGGCACACTTTGACTCCTGGAATCACAGAAGTCAGAAACGGAAAACATCTCTTAGATCATCTTGTCAACCTCCTCAGCAGAAAGACCAGGGCCAGATCCTCAACTTGTGTAAATTGTCATAGCTTAATTGAAGTCAATGGAGCTATGACAGTTCACACTAGCTGATAATTGAGCCCCAAGTATTGAATAGACATGGAAACTGAATTCCCCCTTTTCCCTTAAAGGTGTCTCTCTCCAAGTCAGAATGAAGGCACATTGTAAGGGAAGTTTCCACTGTTGTTGCCCATGCTGTACCTGTTCTGTGGATAAATGGACGACTATAGTCTCTAAGGCTTCCAGGCCTTTTTTCAGCCCTAAATTAACTTTAGAATATAAGAACGGCCATACTGGGTCAAACCAAAGGTCCATCTTACCCAGTATCCTGTCTTCCGACAGTGGCCAATGCCAGGTGCCTCAGAGGGAATGAACAGAACAGGAAGTCATCAAGTGATCCATGCCCTGTCGCCCATTCCCAGCTTCTGGCAAACAGAGGTTAGGGACACCATCCCTGCCTGTCCTGGCTAATAGCCATTGGTGGACCTAACCTCCATGAATGTATTTAGCTCTCTTTTGAAACCTGTTATAGTCTTGGCCTTCACAACATTCTCTGGCAAAGAGTTCCACAGGTTGACTTTAAACTTTAAAATCCCTAATAAAGTCCAAAGCCTCCAGATCTTACTTCTGAGTGGGCTACAGGTAGCAGTTTTTCTGTAATGATAGGGATGAGCTGAAAACGAGTGAAAATACAAGAAAGCAAAATGAAAATCTTTGTTGTTTGGCAGGAAAACAGATCTCGAGGCCAGCCACATTTTTCCCGATTTAACCTTGCAGAAAACCTGCCTGAAGGTGCTACCAGAGTCCAGCCCAATAGGCCGGAAATAGAAGGAACCAATACCAGTCTCAAGTTGCCTCTGACAGCTACAGGTACAATATGAGCAGAAACAATGCATGCTAGAGAGAATGATGTAACAAACAGCACTCACTAAGAAGGTGAATTGCTGTTAGAGTTCACTGAAATGCCTTTCTTGGGGAGGGGATGGAGGAAGGGATGCATTAGAGGAGTTTTAAATATAATTTAACTGTTGATATTAAACAAAATGTGGAACAAATAGACTAGCGCAAATATGTAAGTGACAAGAGGATCATAGAATCAATCATAGAATCATAGGACTGGAAGGGACCTCAAGCCGTCATCTAGTCCAGTCCCTGCAAAGAAACCATGACAAGGGCTTGTCCAGGATGTGTGACCTTGTTGTGTGAAGGCAAGTCACTAAGGGTCTCTCTACACTTGGAGCTGGGGATGTGATTCCCACCTTTAGAAGACATACTTACTTGCACTGCTCTCATTGACCCAGCACACTAAAAATAGAATTGGCAGTATGAGCTGCAGGACGGTCTAGCCTCCCTGAGTATGTGCCCATGGTCTCATAATTTTTTCAGGTATTTGTTACCCTTTACGATTATTTTTAACAGATTTCTAAGTGAAATGTCACTTTGAAATTAAAAGTCAAAATGTTTCATTTTGAAAATGTCAAAACAAACAGTTTCAACTTTTTCAAAAAACATATTTTTACATTTTTTATCTGGCTAAAATTATTCGCTGACTTCTACCCCAATCTGTGAATAATTCCATTTGAGTGACAAATACATGTTTTGGCAAATAAACGATTTACCCCCACCCAAAAAAAAAGAATTCACTTGGCTGTAGCTGCTAGTTTCAGCTCTTTACAAAAATATTTCCCCTAACAAGGGAGTAGCAGAAGGACAATATTCTTCTGGAAATCAATCATCAGTGACTAAATAAAAATAAGGGCACGGTAGAGCAAATACATCTCCACGTTGAATTGAACTCACTGCTGAACCTCTGTTATATAAACAGTGCCTAGATACTACTAGACAATAATTATAGCCTGGTGATGGATCCATTAAAGTATACAAACAGATAGTCATAAGCAACGACTGTCCAGTATATGATGACTAACAGTAAATTCTCCCTTCTGATCAGAATGGCAGATCTCAGCTCTGACCGTCTGATTTCCTCAGGTTCAGGAAGCCTGTCATATATGGCACAACATAAACAAACAAGACATTGGAACTGAAATTGCCCTGTTCTTTCAAGGAGAATCTCACCCTCCTTACAGTAAAATTCCATGTGCAGTTATCAATAGAAAAATATCAACCCGTATTCCCTTTTATTCAAAGGCACTTGTACCAGGGATTTTGAATGCAATGGGTAGGTAAGCTATAGTCTTTAACCTTCTGCTTTCCCTAAGTTTGGACTTGCTGAAGTAAACTTTTTTTAAAAAATTGACTTGACACAAGGACACAGCGTGACACTCTGGTGACAGGAGCAATTCCAGGCTCTTCAATTGCTGAGAATTTTACTTAAACGAATAAAGCTGGCTTCAGACCAAGATGCAGGCAAAATTAAGACAGCTAAAACAGCTCATTGGTTTGACAGTTCAACAGAGATCCTCTCTAGCACTAGAGGACTGATGCTAGGTTTAACCATTATAAGGACTAAATCCATTTGTTTTCTGAGGCCTTTGCCTGAGGGATGGAAGACTGTTTGACTATGCATTTAGCTATTTTTAGGAGGTGAAAGCATCTGACTTTAATCAATGTGCTATTGTAAATATGCCTAGGGACAACTCTGAAAGATGCTTTTTTTAGAAATTCAGGCTGGGATCTTCAAAAATGCTCAGCTTTGGCCTAGCTCTGCTCACTCTGAAGTCAGTGTAAGTTACACCATTGATCTCCATGGGAGTAGAGTTAGGCCAGTGCTGAGTGGATTTGAAATTTCCACCCTTAATAAAGAAGCTCAAGCATAACACAAAGCAGCATTACAGTACCTTCTTTATAACATAACAGATCACTGGGCTTCTGGTTTTCAGGGTTTTATTCATTTTGTTTGGGAGAAGGGAGTTATTGTTACCAATTTTTGAGTTTTATGTAGATGGCTTTTGGGACTTTCTTTTTGTATATACTGTAATGAGTAATGTATATTATTTACATTACTCATTACAGTAGTATATACTGCAATAAGTAATATCTTTGTAATGCTCCCTAATGCACTTTAACAGAGCACTGTTTCTAACGGTACTTCGTTAAAGTGCCCTAGGGAACCTTTAGTGTGTACCAGCAGGATCTACACCGACTAATTAGTGCTCAACACATTTGTGCACTTCAAAAATCACACCCCCGTAGTCCACATTACTGCTCTGTATAGACAAGCCCTTAGATACAAGTAACCATTTCTGGTGTTTTTCCAGGGTTTATTGGATAAGCATCAATTTCATTTATATTACATGATATTATTTATTTACTTATTTGTATTGGGGGTGTTTTACTGATATTTATGAGTTAAAACCAAAAAATCAAAGCCCGACAGATAAAATAAGCAGTGTGCAAATGAAGACAAACTTCCAAAGACCAGCCACTCTGTGGACACACATTGGCTAGCCACATTTTCCACCCACAGGTGCATTCCAGACACTGAATGTACCCACAGTTCAAAAATGGGAACCAATCACACTAACCAAACTTCTACCTACTTAACTGTGGGTGCAGATTAAGTAGTTAAGGCCAAAGAGGAAGATCAGGCAGCAGTGGCAGCTGCGGCTCTCTTCCTCCCTTGGCCACCCAAGAAGAAGCATTAGCAGGTCTCCCAGATACTTCCCAGAGCACCTGGGCTAAATCCATAGAGCCCTTCTGTGGAGCACACTGCCTCATCATGCGCCAGGCCAGGCAGACTAATCCTCCAGCTGCAAATGTCGTCAGTGACCTCACAATGTGACATGAGAATGGGGGCTCTAGTGCGTAATCAAGAAATTTGCTTAGAAATACAGAGGATAGAGCTGACTTCTTTCCTCAGCTCATGCACAACTTCTTTCTAATTAATACATCTAGCAGTTTGCACTTAACATCATATTTCCAAGGAGCAACAAATACTTTGCAAACTTTACTTAGCTGAACCTCACTCATGGGAAGTACATAAAGGCATTATACAGGTAGGCAAACCAAGGCATTAAGGGCCCAATTTTTAAAGGAGATATTTAGGTGCCTAAAGAATCAGATAAGCACCTACTGGGATTTTCAAAAGCATCTAGGCTCCTAACTCCCATTGAGATCAATGGGAGTTAGGCACGTAGTTTCTTTTGACAATTCTACCAGGCACCTAAATGTCTTTAGAAGTCTGGTTCTAAGAGAATCAATGATTTGCAAAGGGTCACACAGCAAGGCAGAGTCAAGAAAAGAACACAGTTGATCGGGAAGAATAAAAATAACAATTAATCACTTTACATTAAAGAAAACTTTTACTGTAAGAATCACAATTGAATTGCGTGATCAATGTATTCCACATTTTCACTGTTGATTTTTTTTTTCAATTTAGAAGCCTTGAAATATTTTAGAAACCAGTTAACAGTTTATGAGCAAGAAGAAATTCTCAACTATGCAGAGCTGTGGTTTCTTGGGCTGGAAGCTAAAAAGATTGAAGGGTTACCTGAAACACAGAATAATAATTGTTATGATGACGAACATGGCACTTACATAAAGGTAAGAAGGAAAATCATGGTACTGGTATTCTGGGCAACAATATTTGCAGTGACTATTTGTCCACTGCTAGCTGATCTATATGAGATAAATGAAGGTCTAAGATGACTTGCTAGCAGTTAAATGTCCACATTGCAAACCCATCACTATTGACAACCTGTTTGAATCTCAAAAGAGAAGCTCTGAATGGAGACCCACTTTCCCTTGACACAAGGTGCATTAGTTGAGGGCTTGTGCCACTTCTGCTAGTGCACTTCTGTGGCCTGTCTCAACTTGTCCTGTGGGCATAAGACTTCACGTTTTGCCAGTCCAGCACCTTTCATGAGCAGTGAATTCACAGACATAAACACCACTCTAGAATATGAATCTTGAATTTGTGCCGGCATCAGAACCTTGCATTTTGTTTCCTTGTCTACTGCAGGTCCTACATGACCATATCGCATACCGCTACGAAGTGCTAGAGGTCATTGGGAAAGGGTCGTTTGGACAAGTAGCAAAATGTTTGGATCATAAAACCAATGAACTAGTGGCAGTGAAAATAATAAGGAACAAGAAAAGGTACAGCATGGCACGACTTCAAGAGGTTAAAGAAGTGTTTGATAGGCTGTTACTTTTCTATTCATGAGAATAATCATCCCCTGCTTTATTAGGGATAATTTACAAGTAATGATCTGTATATGCTATAAGAAAAAGGATGCTTGCTTATTCCATTTTTATAAATACTTTTAAAAATTGTGCATGTGTTTGTTGGCAATAAAATTGGAAGGATGCTATGTCTTGGCAGAGTCAGGCATGATGTGGGCAGGAGTGGTGCAAGCTCCCTGCATGTAGCTCGGCCAATGCACCTCATTTCTGACCGACTGCATCCCCCACAATTCCAGTTATATTCCCCCCACTTCATAACTCTGCCAATTCACTTCTATCCTGACTTGCAAAACTGCATTTTATTCCAATATTGGGCTCCCAAATAGCTTTGTTATAGAGTTATCTAATGCTTAGGGCTTGTTTACATGGGGAAGTTAGTGTGAAAGGGTTAGGTTGTGAATTTAAAGCACAATAGCTATTCCGCACCACCTCCCCATGTGGACATTCTTATTCTGCACTAAGAATGCCTTTTTGCAGTTTATCTTAATCTACTTCGAAGTAGATTAACCTAAACCACACATAGGCACTTTTAGTGTGGAATAAGAGTGTCCACACAAGGAACTAGTGCAGGATAGCTGTTCCCCACTAACTATTCTAGGCTTCCTCCCCCCCTCTCCGCCGGTACACAAACCCTTAAACCAGGATTACACTACAAAGTTTTGTCGGCATAGCTATGTCAGTCAGCGGTGTTAAAGAAACACATCCCTGACCGACTTAGCAATGCTGGCAAACCCTCCCCCGCCCCAATGTAGATTTAGCTCTACCAGCTAAAGAGTCCTTTGGCCAGTGTAGTTTGTGTCGTCTGGGTAGGAGGTTTAACTATACCAACAAAAGAACTCCTTTTGCCGGTATAAACTGAGTTCCACTTGGGGGCTCTGCCAGGATAGCTATACTGGTATAGCTATATTGGCAAAGCCTTTGTAGTGTAGATTAACCCTTTTACTCTGGAAAATCCAGAAGTGAAAAAAAGATGGTAAAAAGCATAGGAATGGCAGGGTTATTTGTAAAAGAGATTAAAAATTTTAGGACTATTTACTTTGGAAAGGAGAAGAAAAAGAAGAAGAAGAAGAGAAGGAAAATTTAATAAAAGGAATATCCTATCTCCTAGAACTGGAAGGGACCTTGAAAGGTCATTGAGTCTAGCCCCCTGCCTTCACTAACAGGATCAAGTACTGTTTTTGCCCCAGATCCCTAAGTGGCCCCCTCAAGGATTGAACTCACAACCCTGGGTTTAGCAGGCCAATGCTCAAACCATTGAGCTATCCCTCTCCTCTTCTGAATGATATGCAGAAAACCAGGATGGTGCTTTTATTCATTCCTCCTCGTAGCATAAGAACAAGAGAGCACAATCAAAAGGTAGCAAGTTTAAAACTGACAAAAAGGGAGCACTTTATTTTCCCAGCATAGAGTCAGTTTGGTGAAATAAGAGCCACAGGAAATCATCCAGGCAAACAGTATAGCGTGATTTTAAAGGGTTTAGCTGTTGATACAGAAATGTATAAAATGTACAGGGAATATCCATGCCTATATGAGGGCAAAGCAGAGCATCTTCAGAGGCTGAGAAATTCCCCCCTCTTCCAACATGATATAATGTTGCATAGTTAGAAAATAGGGTGGGGGACATCACCGTCCTATGAAGCATCCAGCAATGACCTATTGCTGGAGACGGCATACAGGATTAGGAGGACCAATAGCTGGCTCTGGCATTGGAAATTTTACAGTATAGTCCTACAATTTTTCTTCCCCTCTTACTAATGGCCATGCTTGTTCTACTAAGCAGTGCTGTCAGATCAGGCCCAGAGAAATTTTACTACTAAATTTCTTTGGGCCTGATCCAGCAGCATTGGAGTCAATGGGAGTTGTGCTATTATCTTAAGCAGGAGATTAATTAGGCCCTTTCATTGCATGCTTTCTTCTTGCTTCAGTGAGCCTCTTGTACAGATACTGTAGAAAACTGAAGACCTTGCTACTCTTGGGGTGAAATCTTGGCTCTGTTGAAGTAAATAGAAAGACGCCCATTGACTTCACTGGGGCCAGGATTAAACCCTAGATGCTCAAACACGTATTGTTTGAAACATTTTTTCATTCAATTATTTTGCCAGCCAGGTTCAAAATAACCAGAATAGATAGTGGTTAGCATTATGAAGTCAGCATTTGCCAATAATTACCACACGGTGTTTCTCTCTACTTAGACTAGGAAATAACTCTTGTAGCTCAGATTCCACTGTGTGGTAATTACCGGTCACTACGGATTCTTTAATGAGAGCCATTTGTTTTGTATCTGTAGCAAGATCATGTTGGTTGTAGTAATCCATTTACAATTAGATTAAATTAATCAGGTCCTCGTCATATCATGTGACTTTGTCCTATGCATGTAGATTTCACAATCAGGCTTTGGTAGAAGTGAAGATTCTCGATGCTCTTCGGAAGAAGGACAAAGACAGTACTCACAATGTTGTCCATATGAAGGAATGCTTTTACTTTCGCAATCACTTCTGCATTTCTTTTGAACTGCTAGGGTAAGGCATATATTCTTCTACCTATATCATGGCCAAATTATATAGGATCGCAGACCCATACATGTTATGAAAATAACTTGTCTGTTATTTTCTTTCTTTTTAGTGTTTTTGAGTAGGGTTGCCAACCCTCCAGGATTGTCCTGGAGTCTGCAGGAATTAAAAATTAATCTTTAATTAAAGATTGTCATGTGATGAAATCTCCAAGAATACATCCAACCAAAATTGGCAACCCCATTTTTGAGTTGGTCGGTTGGGTTTTTTCTGGTTCACACCATGTAGTGTTTAGTTTACAGACATCTGTGTTAATTTGCACATCGTTTCCCCTCCCTGCCCAATATCAAGAGCCCTCGAAAAAGGATGGGGAACAAAGTAGAGAAAAATGGCCTGAGAATGTAGAAAGGACACAGCTGATCTGTTTACTAATAGGGCCAGATTGTGGTATTTAGCAACAGCCCTGAGAGGGATACTTCCTTGTCCCAAGAGGCACAATCCTTCCCCTAGCTCCCCAAAGCATAGAGGGAGCATACCTGATGCACCATCCAATAAGATGTGCTGAGGCCCCTCAGCCTTTTGGGGGGCAATTTGTATCCCTGAGTGGTGCAAAGAAGAAGCAATCTCTCAGCACAGAGCTTGGGATTGACCTTAGATCTTGGTGCTCACGGGTAGATTGGAAAAGGCTCCTTATTAGAGTTCCCCCACCACACACATACACACACACCATGTGCACCTTTATTAGAACCAGGGATAATCTGGTGCATAATTTTTGTTCTGTGCATGTTACATTTCTTTAGCTGATGGAATGAAATGGAAAAAAAATAAAAAGTGAATGTAGGGGTTGGTGAACTTTAGAGTTTGTTATGCTGATCTGCCCTCTTTTGTTCCCTTTGAAAACTCCTGATAAAGAACTTATAGTTTAGGTTTGTCCTAATATTCAGTCTAATGTTATATAAATAGTGCACAGCGTTGCAATTGTTAGCAAAGGAAAACAAGCCGTGACAGACTCCCACAGGCTACTGAGCTGAAAAAAACAGATGATTCCCTCAATAGTAACCAGGTGGAGTTGATAGAAAAATACAGGAACCAGCAAGTGAACTTGACCTTTATAATTGCATCTATTGTCTGACAAACATGATAACCAATATCAGGAATGTGAGGGGTGTTTTAAAATGATTAGTCCATTATTTCAGCTGTTTTTAAAGATATTGTACATCAGAAGTTAAAAATACAACAATTGTTATTGTTTTGGGAATGTACTTTATAGGAGGAAGTTTGGAGAAATCATGGACATTTTTATTCTTCACATTTCTTGTAATCAAATGTCAAATGGGAGTTCAAGCAATTGTTTTCTGCTTTCTAAAAAAATATCTCCCCCAATTGTGTATAGATGTGGCAGGCTTTTCTTCCCATTCATTCTAGTGTGCTCAGCATCCTGAAGATCCAGCAAATTATTAGAAGATTTGATCCCTGACTCTGACCTAAACTCAGTGTCACATCCAGCTCATACTGATACATGTGACAATGTGAACTCTGACACGTGTGCTGATTAACATGATGTAATCAAAGGCCTCTTGGGTCCAATAAAGGCAGAAGCCTGGGATCTCAGAAAGTCACTGTGGGAAACTGAGAGGAAAACAGCTTCTGGCTATCCAGCACGTTCACCCCCCTTAAAAGAGACCTGGAACCTCTGTCCATAACATAAAAGCATATTTTTGCCTTATCGGTCCAATGGTAATTTAAATTATTAGTAAAACAATAACTTGATTGATGAATGTTGTTTCCTACAGAATGAAAACATCATGTACTAGCTAGTTTGTTTTCTAATGGCCAGACTCTGCCCATGCCTTGTGTGGACGTACAAGAGAGGGAGGTGAAAATTTCTTCCCCCTACATACACAGTCTTGCACCTAGGCTCAGTAACTGGTCAGAATTCCAGTGGGGAGCATAGCATCATCTCCCTGCTAGTGCCTGTATAGGTCCCAGCTGTCTGAAAGCAAGCTGGGTGAGGGCAGGGCAATAGCAGTGTCCCCAGCACAGCTGGTCAGATGCATAGCAGGAAGCATGCTCCACTGTCTCCAAGAGTGATGGAGCTACTACTGTGGCCCACAGCCCCTAAGAAGAAGTCTGCCTAACTCAGCCAGAATTATTTCTGGGATTCCAATGGCAACACAGCCCCTCCACACACACCACATCAATGTGTCTCCGACATACAGGAAAGAATCTAAACCCAAGATCTATCAGTTATTCTGAAAATTGTGTCTCAACGTTCTACAAAATTCACATGCTGTTGGTAAACCTTTGACACCTACTAGCAAGGTTGCCATTTTAGTTCATTGCCAGGCCCTTCTCCTACTCCTATGCCTCAGTTTCCCAAACTGTGAAATAGTAATTATAATCATGGTTACCTGCCTCAGAAGAGTGTTGCTTTATCATTGGTAAAGTAGTTAGGGGTCCTCCACTGAAAGGCACTTCTATAGAAAAGAGGGGTAATCCAGTGGTTAGTGCACTAGTGGGACGTAGGACATCTGAGTTCAATTTCCTGCTCTGCTACAGATTTCCTCTATGACCTTGGGCAAGTCACTTTGCCTCTCGGTACCTGAATTCCCATTTGTAAAATGGAGATAATAGCACTTCCCTTGGTGGTGTTGTGGGGATAAATTTGAGATTGTGAGGTGCTCAGATACTATGATAATGGGGGCCATCATTGTAGATATCTAGAAATGAAGACAGTGCAAAACTGCAACCAGGTAAAACAAATTTCATTGCAAACCTGAAAGCTGGCCCAAGTTCATGGGCAATGTTTTGAGTAAACCTGAGTTGAGCTTCCAGCAACACTGGAGCAATTTGTGATTTCAGGAGGAAATGGAGAATTTGGTGTTTTGTCCCAAAAGCAAACCATGGCATTTTGAGGTAAGGGCTGCTTTGAGTTTTATGAACCCATAACTCAAAGTGAAACTCACGCAAGTACAAACCTGTGCAAAGTGAAATGGGAGAAAGGTTTACCCGCATGACCCGATGTACATTGACATTGCTGAGCTTTTCAGTGCTCTAGTGAACAGCATCATCCTAATTCTTATTATCAGCCCTACTGCAGCAGTACCATTGCACTTCCCACCTTCGTTCTGGTCATGGCATTGCCTGGTGGTGACCTTGCCTTGCTGAGGAAGGTTGAAGGAAACAGCTAGTAAGGGAAGTCTCTTTTTCGGTCTTATGTTTGTTTACTTCTTTTGCCCTTCCCATTCCCATCAAACCACACATGACAGAAGTTAGTCATGTCACTTAATGCACTATTGAAAGGTGCTCATACTACAGTGATGAGGACCGTATAAGAGCAATAGAATCTATACAGGTATTTTATCAAAGATGATTTCCCTTGAGTGTCTGACCACAGGCACTGAGATACAAAGGAATTTGTGGAAGGTGCCAAGTCAAAGGTCAATTAAAAAGAATGGGAACTGGACCAAACCTTTCTATCTCTTATTCCCCCAATGAGAATGCTGTTCTTCATGGTGAAAAGCAATGGATTTGTGACACCTGGTTCAATAAATTAATGTGTCCCATTGACATTACTTATCCATTAGATCTGGAGGATTAAATGCAATATAACATTCCTAAGAAGGAAAACATACATGTTGTTTTAGTCTGGGTGATTCCTTTCTCTCATATAGGAAAAAAACAAGAGGCTTTCTAATGTGCTTTAACTATTCACACCATAAACCCAAAGTGCCCTGGTCTCTCTGTCTCTCATCCCACAGAATAAATTTGTATCAGCTGATCAAAAAGAACAAGTTCCAAGGTTTTAGTTTGTCTTTGATTCGACGATTCACTCAGTGTGTGCTGAGATGTTTACAAATGCTCTACCGGGAAAAAATTATCCACTGTGACTTGAAACCTGTGAGTACTGTCATCTCATTATAAGCTACTTTGTAGAGTTCTTGTAAGGTGCATCTGATCTTTCATGGATAGAGAACTTCTGAAAGGATCTTTAAAACTCAACAGTGATAGGTAGAACCTATGATTCCTCTAAGGGGTGTTATTCCCAGTTCAAGTAGACATACTCATGCCAGCTCGCTAAAAATAGTAGTGTAGCAGTGCCGAGTACATACTCACAGAGTCTGGGTAGGTTTGTACTCAGGGTGGCTGGTCCAGGATCCCAGCTCTGCAGCAGGGACCCTGAAAACTCTGAGAGCCTTGGCTTGAGCCAGGGTTCTCAGGGCTTCCAGGCTCCTGTTGTGGATCCAGGAGTCAAGCCTCAGTTAGAGAGGGGGTTTCTGGGACTTTGGGACTCCCAGCTTCATGGCAGAGAAGCTGGAAGCCTTGAAATGGTGGGGTTGCCCCAGAGCTGCAGACCCTAGAAGCACAGGGGCCCTGGCCCCAAGGGGGTCCCTATTTCCTCCTCTTATTCTGTCTCTCTCATAACTTTCATTTGGAGTTTTGCTTTATTTCAAATAATTGGGCATGATTGCCCTCCAGTATCAGTAAAGTGTATGAACAGGCAAGATAAAGTGATTTATATAACTATTACAGAGTTAAGCATAACCTCATCATATTATACATTACTTTTACCAAAGAGTTCACTAACCTACTGGGGTGTTCTTGTCTTTCCCCCTTTTTATTTTTCCTCTTTAGGAGAACATATTGCTATACCACAAAGGTCAAAATTCAGTTAAAGTTATTGACTTTGGATCAAGCTGCTATGAACACCAAAGAGGTTTGCAGAAAAGTCAAGTTGATGTAATTTTCTTAATTAGATTTCTTAATTTTTAAAAACTGGAAAAAATATTTTTTCATTGAGCTAATACAATGACACATGCCCATCATTTGCATCTATTGAACTAGTAAGCCAATGGGGTTCTCCTTGTGTCACCTACCAGCACTTTCCCCCACACTGCTGAGACTGATCTACCACCTTTAATGATGATGATGATATAGAAATTGGTCTTAGCAGGTGTAGGGAATTGAAATGGATCCAAGTGAATAGCCCCACTAACTTCAATAAAACTTACTCTCTTCAGTGGGGGTTGACAGGATCAGACCGAGATCCTTTTTTACTAGTTAGTTAAGTTACAATTCATGCATTTTTGAACCAAAAGTATCCTTTCCCTGAGTTGCGGTGGAATGAAAACATCCCGGGGCACTGGAGATTATACAGCCATTTTGAAGAGATTTTTAAAATATTTTTTCTTGATAAGGTTTAAACAGAATGTACAGCGAATAAACCAAACAAAACCAATAAAACAAGAAATTAAACATAAAATGTGTCTTATAGTTGAATTGATGACAAAGAACTCACAACACTAAGAATAAACATGTCATTCAAGAGTGAAATAAATGTGAGGAAGGCTGTAGCACTCGTTAAATGGGAGACATCTATACAACATTTTCACTAAGCATGGAAAAAACAAATCATGTTCTATGTTCTTCTCTTTCTCCCATTAAACATGTTTCTCCACTCAGACAATATATACGAATTCAGCCAAGCACCTTGCTCTAGATTTTGGAATTTCTCTAGATTTCACACAACGCACAGTCAACCTGTGGAACTCCTTGCCAGAGGATGTTGTGAAGGCCAAGACCATAACAGGATTCAAAAAATAATTAGATAAATTCATGGAGGATAGGTCCATCAGTGGCTATTAGCCAGGGTGGGCAGGGATGGTGTCCCTAGTCTCTGTTTGCCAGAAGCTGGGAATGAGCGACAGGGGATGGATCACTTGATGATTACCTGTTCTGTTCATTCTCTCTGGGGCACCTGGCACTGGCCACTGTCGGAAGACAGGATACTGGGCTAGATGGACGTTTGGTCTGACTCAGTAGGGCCATTCTTATGTTCTATGTTCTTATGTTGGGTTTAAATCAATTAGATTTATACAATCTGCTTTTGAAAGGGAGGTTAATCATTTTAGGCTTTCCGATGTTTGGGTACAAGATAATAAGAGATTCACCCTGGAATGTATCTGGAGAAGAATAATTTGAAACAGAGAAATTCAGTGGAAGAAATATGGAGCATGATTCATCTCCTGTTAGCTTAAATAAGAGGTTTTTTTAGATGCCTGGGAAGCAGTAACTGAAAGATACCTAAGGGCAGGTAGTAGAAGACAAAGTTAGATATTCATTCTTAGTATGATATGGCAGAACAACAACAAAACCCCAACAGTGTGATATTGGCCACGCATACAAAGCAACATGCCATGTGTCGTCCCTTCCTATGCGCTGCTGGAGAAACTGCCCCCGAGAATACTGCTTGTGTTGCTGAGCAGCTTGCTCCCAGAAAGCTGTTGAACAGGAGGGAGTTAAAAGAGCAAACGAATAAATAAAAGGGTCCAACAGGCTAGTGGAATTGATGTAGGAGGGAAAAGTGACAGAGGTAATGTACCATCATTATATTTGATTGGGCTGAATACCAATTAAAAAGAGTTAGTTTACTCACTATGGTCCCAATCCTGGAATGTGACCTGCTGGCCCAGGTCCCTGCACGTGTAGAGTCCCAATTAAGACACTGGATGAAATTCCGACCCTATTGAAATCAATGCGAGTTTTGCCATTGACTTCAGTGAGGCCAGAATTTCGCCAGATAGGTCTCTGAAGGTGTGGAGTGCTTTGTGCTGGAAAATCCCATTGCAGGACTGGGGCCTATAGAGGGGGAAGAATTGTTTGGGCTGGTTCAAGGGGTATAATTGCATGTAAGGGAATGAACTAAGGATATTTGGCTGAATAATAATCAGGAAACATTTCCTAAGAGCAAGATCTATTGCTCTGTGAAATAGTTCCCAAAAGATGTGGGGAAAGACCTATCACATGCAATTTAAAATGGAACTGGATGAAGTATTAGAAACATGTACTAAGGAACAATCCCTCTCTGGCTTATCAGGGAAATAATAGGTATTTGTCTTTTCTAAGGTCTATAGTTCTCTAATGTGAATTGCTGCCCTGACAACACTACGTTCCTTAGTGTCCGATTTTCTTTCCTAATGCAGTGTATACGTATGTTCAGAGCCGATTTTATCGCTCCCCCGAAGTGATTCTTGGTCACCCGTATGCTACTCCTATTGATATGTGGAGCCTGGGATGCATCATGGCTGAACTTTACACAGGCTATCCCCTTTTTCCCGGAGAGAATGAAGTAGAGCAACTTGCCTGCATCATGGAGGTAGCTTCTGGGATTTTTTTAGTCATGACATCAAGGTGCTGTTTCTCCATCCCTTACATGCATGTTTGGAAACAAAGCATTTTGTAATTTGATGAATTGTTTGAACAGTTCCTTCCACAGGGGTTCATTGACATGAGTTTTCGAATGACAGGTTAGCTGCAGTTTGCTAAACTGCACTCCCAGCAACAGAATGACACATGAAGAGACTCAAATATTTTTTGAAGCTGGGCTGGCTGTGAGAGGGAAGCCAGGGGGCCCAGTGAGAAGGAAGAGGCAGAATGTGAAGCTGCTGCCTCCTCTTTGTGTGGCAAACCAGCTCCCTGTGGTGAACATTGTTGGTTTGTTCAGTCACTGCACTGTTTCTGTCTTTATGGGGAGCACATTGTAATCTGATCAGAATTGTAGGGAGCGGTTCTGATCAAAGAAGTATGTTTGAGTCTAAGGGGGAAGCAAAGCAATATTTTAATTTTTCTCCTTTTCCTAATACATTTGTTGTTTTTGTTTGCACTGCCATGTAATGTACCTGGGGCCAACTGTGAAAACGATGCAAAAGTTATGTCAGGTACAATGTGTTGCAATCAGTCTCCTAGGCAAGTCTGACTAATGAGAGCATATCACTTTGCTGCTCAGCATCCTATGCTAGCTCCCTGTCTGATCTCCAACCCAGGGCAAGCCCTGAATTAGCAGGTGCAAAGCTGCTGTACTGTCCCTCTCTGCAGTCTCCCACAGCTAGGGTGACCAGACAGCAAGTGTGAAAAATCGGGACGGGGGTGGGGGGGTAATAGGAGCCTATATAAGAAAAAAGACCCAAAAATCGGGACTGTCCCTATAAAATCAGGACATCTGGTCACCCTACCCACAGCATCTACGTCGATCAACAGGAGTGCTGTTCTTCAGAGTCCCCGGGGGAAACTTCCAGGGCTGGGGAAAGAGCTGTCTCAACAGAGGGCCGTAGATGTTGTAGATGCTATTAGTCAGATCAGAATGAGCCCAACTGTGAAAACAAATCTGTTTAAGTAAGACCTCCATTAATAACAGAGCAAGCTAGCCTGGCAGCATTGTTTATGGAAGATGACAACCACCAAAATTTATCTCCTGTGAGAAGACAGCTTAAAATGGAGAGTGTGAAGTCCATTTTCAACCAATTATAATGGATCCCTTGGTTCTGTATATGGACCTTAGATACTGTATTACAGTGAGAGGCACATTAAAAATGAGGGTGGGTTAGAGAGAGTTGTAGACATTTCACTCCATGCATCTGAAGAAGTGGGTTTTTTACCCACAAAAGCTTATGCCCAAATAAATCTGTTAGTCTTTAAGGTGCCATCGGACTCCTCGTTGTTTTTGTAGATACAGACTAACATGGCTACCCCTCTGAGACATTTTACTGTAAATTGCCACATGTAAATAGGAGGAGGAACAGCACATCCATCTTTAGCCAAGGCTGCTAGAGATGTTGAAGAAATAGTGAATAACTCCTCATATTAATTTTCTGTCTTGAAGATATTGGGTCTTCCGCCAGCTGATTTTATTCAGACTGCATCAAGAAGACGAACATTCTTTGGTAAGCACCTGTGATTGTCTCTCTTTATTGTATCACTTCCACAGCGGTTTGGCGGGCGGCTGGGAAGCGCTGGGAGGTAGGCAGAGGAGTGGGGACACGGCGCGCTCAGGGGAGGGGTGGGGGTGAGGGGAGCTTGGCTGCCAGTGGGTGCAGAGCACCCTCTAATTTTTCCCCGTGGGTCCTCCAGCCCTGGAGCACCCACTGAGTCGGCGCCTATACATGGCTTGCCCTGCTGTGTGAGTAATCCCTCTAGCAGAGCGATCTGAAATTATACCAGTTGAATGTTGAATTCAGTTGAATGCTGCGCTGTGTTATCAGTTTACGCTGCATATTTTTCAGGATGAAAGTATAATCAGTTCTAGTAAAGTGCATTTAATACAGATTTGTTTACTAAGTGGTGTTGCCTCCTTTCATGGTTTTAGCAATGAGAAAACAACAAGCTCCGGGAGGTGGGTGGGGGAGGAGGAACGGGAACGTGGCACACTCAGGGGAGGAAGCAGGGAAGAGGCGGAACTGGGGTGGGGATTGGGGAAAGGTTGAGATGGGGGCAGGGCAGGGCAGGGCCTCATGGAAGGGGTGGAATGGGTGTGGGGTTGGGTGCGGGGGGAGGGAGGGTCGAGCACCCAGGGGAAAGCAGGGAAGTCGGTGCCTATGAAGCCATGTACTGGTGGGATGGATGTAACATGGGAAAACTCATTTCATTCCTCTCATAATACCCTGTTCAGGACTTCTTATTCACACCTTTCTCCCACTGACTTCAATAAAGATTTTACCCTAAATAAGGAGTCAGAGTTTAAGGCCAGAAGAGACCACCAGATCATCTAGTATGGCCTCCTGTGTATCACAGGTCACCAGCACCTGCACGTTAAACCAAACAACCAAAATGAGACCAAAGAATTACAGCCCTTAGGAGAATAGATTTATGTGCCACAGGCAGAGACTAGGAGGGACCAAGATCCCTGCAATGAGAAGGAAATTATTAAGGGAGATACCGAGATAATCTTGGCAAGTGACCTGTACCTGCATGCTGCAGAGAAAGCAGAAACCCTCCAAGGTCCCTGCCAATCTGACCTGCAAGAAAATTCTTTCCTATCCCGACCTATTGTGCTCAGACCCTGAGCATATGAGCAAGAACCAACCAGCCAAGCACCTGAAAAAGAGAGAATTCTCAGTGCCACCTCACAGGCCTGGTCCTGAGTAGTGCTCATTGTGTTCTAGCTAAACACCAACTGGGTAATTATGTTCAACCTACCTACGATTCAACAAGCTTCAATGGGACATGGCATTCTTCACTTCCTATCCTAAGCAGCTGTGTAGTGCATTTCTGTGTTGTTAAACAGTTGTCATGTTTCCCCTGAAGTAGATGCAGGTCAGTGGTAGGTAAAGGTATTTCTTGGGTGTAAGTTTGTGAAGAATTTTGGGATCCTTTTGGATGAAAGTTGTTATGTAAATACAAGTCATTTTCCTTATGGATTTAAATCTCCTTGTAGGACTCTATAAAGTTCACACTACTGAAGGGCAACATCATGACTACGGCTAAACTGTTACTGTGCAAAATATTTACATGACTTAAAAGCATATTTTGTTTTTAAAGATTCCAGAGGTTTTCCTAGAACTATAACAAACAGCAGGGGGAAAAAAAGACACCCAGACTCCAAAGATCTAAGTATGGTATTAAAAACCCATGATGCTGCTTTCCTGGATTTTCTGAGAGGCTGCCTAATGTAAGTTACTTTTTACTTCTTTATTTTCTGCAGACTTGTTTAACTTTAAGTCCCTGCTTTATTTCTCTTAGGGCTTTAAAGATTTTTGTATCTCAGTTTTTTCACCAATGTTTATTTTATAGGCCCATCCTTGTAGCATTTGAGTGCCTCACAAACATTAATAAACTTTAGTCTCACAACAAGAAAGTATTATTCACAGCTTACAGAAGGGGAAATGGACACAGAGATTTAAGTGATTTCCCCAAGGTCACACAGGAAGTCTGTGGCAGAGCCAGAAATAAAACCCAGATCTCCTGCTTCTGAATCCAGTGACAACTCTAAAAGCATCCTTCTTCACTTATAAAAGCCCCAGTAATTAACCACCTCAATCTGATTTAAGGTAAAGTTTCATGCAAGTAACATGGGTGGTGTCAGAGTGGAATCACACTGTACACCTCCCTAGAACAACACTCAATTTTGTATACAACCAGGGCCGGGGTTTTTTGCCCCTAAGCAAAAAAAAAAAAAAGGTCGGAGTGCCGCCCCTTGAAAAGGGCCGCCCCAAGCATGTGCCCGTCCTGTATTCAACAATGATTATAACAATCCAAGTCCCATTGCAGCAAATGGGAGTCTTTCCATTCACTTCAATGGGAGTGACTTTGGGCATTGATTTGTGGTTCTGGATTACCACGTCTATGGTGTGCCCTGGAAGGGGCCAGCAGAGAATGTGCCATGATGTAAAAGACTTGGTTCTTCTTTGACTATTTGTCCACATAGATCCCACTCTTGTTGGGCTTGAGCTTTATGTCTGCAAAACTGGATTCTTTTGGCCAGCAGTGTCTGTTGGGGACAAGCCTGCACACTAGAAATCCTTGTGCCTCTCCCACCTCATAAAGGATGGAATAGTCCCAAGCCAACCATTCTTCAGTTCCGTCTTACCATCAGTGAGAGTGAGTTGGAACCCCTGCAGTGTCCTCTGGCTTCTCTGTGACTCTCTTCTGGTTAGTGGTTAGTTAGCATAGTGTTAGGTAGTTAGTTAACTTTTACTTTGCCCCTTGGCTTTTAAAGAAACTTTTTACAAATTTTTCATAGATAGTAAGATCTGAGACTGAGTCTATGCTTCTCTCCCCCCACTACCAGAACTTCCACTGTTATGGTGGAAGCTAAATCCCTGGAGTTTAAGACATGCCCCTCCTGAGGTCGTTAAGTGCTTTTTCTTTTTTTTTTCTTTTTTGGTTAGGCAAACGCAAAGGCATATCTTTGACCAGTGCTCCACCTGCTGCTCTTTTTCCAAATGGACTGAGAAGTCTAGGGATGCACTGTGCATGCCTAAAGCTATTTCATCTGGAGGCCTCCATGAAAGCCTTGTCAGATACAGAGAAAGTTGTAACTAAGGCTCAGTCCCTCTCAGCTAGTGCCCCAATGAACTGTGATTCATCTCAAGCTCCAGGGCAGAAATGTCTAAGAGACCTCAAAAACAACAAGGAGACTGGTGGCACCTTAAAGACTAACAGATTTATTTGGGCATAAGCTTTTGTGGGTAAAAACCACTTCTTCAGTGGTTGCATCTGAAGGAGTGGGTTTTTACCCACGAAAGCTTGTGCCCAAATAAATCTGTTAGTCTTTAAGGTGCCACCGGTCTCCTTGTTGTTTTTGTGGATACAGACTAACACGGCTACCTCCAATAAGAGACCTCAGGAGTCAGCTTCAGTCCACATGCTGACTTCTTCACAAAGGGGTAGGAAGGAGCATAACTCTCCTTCTCTGGGACCCTCAGAACTGAGGCACAAGTCGACATGTATTAGTCTTGTCTCTAGTTCTGCAGCAGAATAGCAGCCTACAGCGGGTATCTCTGCCACCTTAGTACCAGCTATGAAAAGAGTGCCTGCAGTACAGGCTAAATCCTTCCTCCGTCAGTGGCTCCTCGGCAAGCTCTGTATCCAGCACATTGGCACTCAGCCTTTTGGTCCTGTCCCTTTTAGCTCCTATGGCCTATTTGGCACTGAGTGCCCTGTCTGTGGGCCAGGTATCAGAATCCCTCTTGTTGGCTTGTACAACGTCAGCAGTGCTAACTAGTCCTTTGGTCACCCAGATCACAGTACAGCATTCAGCTGTTGATACATCTGTGCCATCTACTTCCCCTACCCATGTACAGAGGATGCAGGAGCACCCTAACACACCCAAAAGTGGGGAATCCACCCCTCACTTAAGGAGGTGTATTCCTTTTCATCTTCTCCACTGGGACATAATAGAGACTCATCTCCTGCTCATCCCTCCTCCCTCCCCTGTCAGATGCCTTTCTTATTCCCTGGGCACTGAGACTGATGTATGCCTACCTGCTGATCTGCATGATCCCAAGGGTCCTGAGGAAGGTGAGGCAATATCCAGAATGGACGATAATTACAGCCCTAGCATGGGCCAGGCACTTCTGGTATTCTGATCTGGGGAACATCTCATTGCAGCTCCCAGTCACCTTACCTGCTCTGTCTGACAATGCTGACAATACCTGCTCTGTCAGAGCAATGCTCAGATCCTACCCCTGGACCCAGTGTCATTACACCTGACAGCCTGGATGCTGGTTGGTTGATGTCCACCAAAAGACGCTGTTCAACAGAAGCTCAGAACATTCTGCTCCAAAGCAGAAAAGCCTCAAGCACAATAACTTATCAAGCTAATTGAAAGAGATTTTCTATTTGGGCACCTCAGCACCAGCTGTCTCCCTGGACAACACCCTTGACAACTTACTAACCCTGGAACCATCTGGACTTTCTTTTAGTTCCATAAGGGTCTGTCTAACAGCAAAATCTGCACATTATCCTCTTATCCAGGGCCACACTTTTTTCTCACCCTGCAATGGCAAGATTCCTTAAGGGCCTAACTCATGTTTTCCTCACAGTTCAGTAGCCTCCTCCCTCTTGGGACCTCAGTATAGTATTAACAGGGTTAATAGGACCCCTTTTTGAGACCTTAGCAACCTGTTCCCTATACCACTTGTCAATGAAGACTGCCTTTTTAGTAGTCATTACCTCAGCTTGAACAGTAGGGGAGATGCAGGCCCTCATGGTGAATCCCTTATATCGTGTTTCATAAGGACAGGGTTACTCTCAGGCCTCATCCCAAATTCCTGCCCAGAGTTGTTTCAGAGTTCCATACAAACCAATTCATTCATCTGCCAGTCTTTTTCCCTCCCAAGTCTCACTTAACCCCAAGGGAAGCTAAACTTCAAACACTTGATGTACTACAAGCATTATCTCATTATCTTATGTGACAATGCACCTCTTTCATCACATCAGGGCTCAGTGTTTCTCCCTCTAACTTTGAGGAGGCCTGGGGTAAATCAGTTCCACTCTAGAGGTTGAATACTTCATGTTGGTTTATTTACAATATTTACAGGGTTGCCCCGAGGGCTTCTTTCCACACACACACACACAAAAAAAATACATTTCCTAACTCTAGGTGGAGTACTGCCTCTTCTTATTTGGGCTACCAATCAGCAGCCACCCTCTCTAAACCACTGTGGGCCCACCTATGCTGGGAACCAAGGCCCTCTCCCCAACCAGAAATAACCACAAGATTTTCCCTTATAGGAAAAAGCAGCTCTTTACCTAGGAAAAGCCTTTTTTCCTCACTGCACACAGCCCTTCTGCAGTTTGCCTCTCATCCTTCTTCCCTTTTGTCGCTCACTGGAAGAGGTTTTTAAAGGCCACAGGCTGCCTTTAATTAGACTCAGGTGTCCATAATTAATCTAAGATAATCTCTTTCAGTTTGATGCAAAAAGGGCTTTTTAACCATTCCAAGACTGATATACCTGCCTTCAACCACCCTCCAGAACTGTCAGGTCTGACTTTGTCACACTTAGCAGGACAAAATCATTCAGGAATACATCTAGACGAGGGGTGGGCAAACTACAGCCCGGGGCCGCATCCGGCTCTTCGGACGTTTTAATCTGGCCCTCGAGCTCCTGCCGGGGAGCGGGGTCGGGGGCTTGCTCCATGCAGCTCCCGGAAGCAGTGGCACGTCCCCCCTCTGGCTCCTACGCGTAGGGGCAGCCAGGAGGCTCTGCAACCTCCTGCACCCCAGAGCCCATATCCCCAGCCGGAGCCCTCACCTCCCCACCTGCACCACTGCCTGAGCCCGGAGCCCCCTCCTGCACCCTGAACTCCTCATTTCTGGCCCCACCCCAGAACCCACACCCCCAGCCGGAGCCCTCACCCCCACCCACACCCTCACCCACACTCCAAACCCCAATTTTGTGTGCATTCATGGCCCACCATACAATTTCCATACCCAGATGTGGCCCTCAGGCCAAAAAGTTTGCCCACTCCTCTTCTAGACTGTTAGTGGCATTTGCTGATAGGTTTAAGAGTCAGGCAGTATCCTGATAAGGTTATCTATGTGGGTCTCCAAGTGCATAAGGCTATATTATGAGTTAACCAGAGTAGATCCTCCTAGCCATGTTAGAGATCATTCCACTAGAACTCAGGCAGCCTCAGCTGCCTGTTTGAGGAATGTCCCTATTTCCAAAATGTGTAGGGCAGCTACGTGGAGCTCAGCCCACATTTATACAAGACGCTATTTTTCAGTAGAGGCTTCCAGTTTGGATTTCCACTTTGGTAGGGCTGGCCTATAATCCTTGTTCCAGTAGGACTTCTAGCACCTACCTCTGAGCAAACAATCAATTACTTGTTAGACACCAAAACTGGGATCTATGTGGACAAAAATCGAAAAAGAAAGGATATTTACTTTATGGTAACTGTGGTTCCTCAAGGTGCCTTGTACACATGGATCCCACAACCTGCCCTCCATCCCTGCTACTACAGAGTCCTTATTCCTCTGGAATTCTGTACTGGCAAAGGAACTAAGGGCCTGCTCTCTGCCCTTTATGTCCTCAGGTGGGGAGGGGTGCAAGGATTTCTACGGTGGAGGCATGCCCCCAGCAGACACTGCTGGCCAAATGACTCCAATCTTGCATGTGTGGGACGCATGCATACCAAAAGTGGAATCCATGTGAACAAAACATCTTGAAGAACCACAGTTACTGTTAGGAAAGTAATTGTTCTTTTTTGGAGCAAATTTAAGATTCTCTATCTTCATGCTAACGTACCCTGGGAGCATTGCAGAGGTAATCTGATTTGCTGTGAGGAGTGAGTCAGGTCCGGATTTTGCAAGGTGTTAAGCACTACCTATGAGGTGCTAAGTACTTTAAACACATGTTAGCTTCAGTGGGAATTTATGGTGTTCTGCATCTCACAGGCTGCACTCAGCACCTTGCAGGAACAAGTCTTGGGTGAGCACTGCACATCATTATGGGCACAGAATTGCTTGCCATAAAGTAGCTGCACTGGTAGCAAGGAGAACAGAGATCTTTAATGGGGAAAAATATGAATCCCAAATGAAGATATTAGAGGAATCCCTATAACTGAACATGCACGGATCTGTACTTCTTGAGAAGCCTGATTCAGTGCAAGACAAAATGATGAATACTGCCTCACCTGGTGATAAGTGCATGGACCAAAATTCTCACACTTGAGTGCCCAAAGATAGGAACCAAAATCCATATTTAAATAAGTAGCTTGGTTTTCAGATGTGCAGAGTACTTACAGCTTCCCTGGGACATCAGTGGAACTTCCTGGAAGCTCTGGTTTCTGAGCAGCTCCTGTAAATCAGACCCCTTATTAAAATTTGGTACACAATTCTGGGCACCCAAAATAAACAACATAGAATTTGTCAAGTGAATAACGCATTGATCCACCAATTCCAATACCCTGTCTGCAACAATGGCCACTAGTTGAAGTTGCAGAGGAAGGTTAAAATCACCCATAATGAACTGTGGCAATTGCACGGGGCTGTATGGGAGGAAGAAAATTCTTTTCTGATCCCTTTGGCAATCAGCTGTTGTCCCAGAGCATGAGAATCAATTTCCATAGTGTAAATAACTGCTCATTTATTTATTAAAAATAACTGCTCATTTATTTATTATCCAGTTTATTAAACCCACTTCATTAAACAACTTCAGTCTTTGACTCTGTGAACTTCTGTGGTAGAGAATGGTGCAGACTGAGTACATGTTGTGAAAAGTGCTTCCTTTTAACTGTATTCAGAGTACATACCAATTCATTTCACTGAGTGACTCCTTGTTCTAATATTATAAGAGGAACTGATCAGTTATTACTCTGTGCTTCGAAGCCTCAATACCACAGTCAAGTCCCCTCTGGCTTTTGCATTTTCAAAAATCATTCCACTTCTATACTCTTTCATATCTACGTCCTTCTGTTACTTCTCACGATCTTTCTGGCCCTTCCCTGAACATTTTCAGTCTTAGCTATCTGTGTCTCAAAGTATAGTTCCACTAGTAGAGCACTCCCTCTGGAAAGAAATATGGTGGGGTGCAATAATAATTTTAACGAATGTGGGAATAATAAATCCGTCCTGTTGAAAACTTGCCAATCTCTTCTCCCCATATGCGGGGTATGCAGCTATTCTAGCAGTCTACCCATTCCTATCATGGACACTGCAGAGTGGCGGCTAGGGACACACATGCCTAGGGACAGATCTAACCAGGAGTCAGAAACTCCTAAGTTCTTTTTTCTTTTAAACACTCTATTGTATTTAGTATGAAGTACAGTGCAGGTTGGGCAAGACACATAACTAAAGGTCTACTAAATTCGTAGCCATAAAAACTTGTCATGGACTGAGAAATCTGGTCTCCCCCATGAAATCTGGTCTTTTGTGTACCTTTACACTATACTATAGGGTAAGAGTATACAAAAGTACACAGCGTTTCTCAAACTGGGGGTCCCGACCCAAAAAAGGATTGCAAGTCTATTGTAGGGGGGGTCGCAATATTGCCACCCTTACTTCTGCACTGCCTTCAGAGCTGGGAAGCCAGAAAGAGGCGGCTGCTAGCCAGATGCCCAGCTCTGAAGGCAGCACTGCCACTAGCAGCAATGTAAAAGTAAGGGTGGTATGAAATATACTATGTGAATGCTACTTATGCTGTGATCAACCCGCAAAAAACATGCGATTTCTCCACAGTTTAAGTAGACCCCGGCACAAAATCTCTCTGCACATTAGTTTTCCTGTCTTTAAATTGGAAATAATAATACTGACTTTCTTAACTCATTGGGGTGATGAAAGGATTAATTAGTAAATGTTTATAAAGCTCTACACCCCGTGTCTGTCTTCTCTATTTAGATTGTAAGCTCTCTGGGGCAGGGACCATCTACTATTCTGTATGCTTAGCACAATGGGGTCCCATTCTTGGTTGGTCCTTAGGCACTGTTGTAATAAACATGTTAAATAATAATAGTAAATCACCCTGGCCTGTATCCCACTCCTGAGGCAACCACCTATTAACCTCTCTTTATTATGAAAATCAGTCATTTAATATAACTCTTGTTCCTGCCACCTAACAATTTTTTAATCCCTGACAAGTCTTTGCCTTTTGCCCCTTGAGTATTTTTTTTCTTTTTACTACTTCTATTTACTACTTATGAAAAAATAAACACTGTTCTGGGCCACTGTAGATGGGAAGGTTTCAAAAATTATTCAATAGCATTTTTTCCATGCCAGTTATTGAACTAGAGGGGAACCTGGAGGGCAAGTCAAGGTCCAAACATTTCCCAGGGAGTTGTGGGTTGAAATCCTGACCTTATTGAAGTCAATAGGAGTTTTGTCATTGACTTCGGTTGCTCTCTTAACTGATCAGCTGCAAGTTTTTCATTGCTCGTAAATGCAAATAGCCAACAATTTCTGTTAATCTTCAAGGAAGATACAACTTTAGTAGGTTATCTAGATCATAAACCCTTTGAGGACAGGTTTCAGAGTGGTAGCCGTGTTAATCTGTATCAGCAAAAACAACGAGGAGTCCTTATGGCACCTTAGCAACTAACAAATTTATTTGGGCATAAACTTTCATGGGCTAAAACCGGGTTTTAGCCCACAAAAGCTTATGCCCAAATAAATTTGTTAGTCTCTAAGGTGCCACAAAGTCTCCTTTGAGGATAGAAACCTTCTCTTCATGCCTGACAGTAATTGTCTTGCACAGTGTGGGTGCCATGCAAATGATAAATAAGTACCAGCAAATATCAAGGCTATCTTCAGTTCTTTTTTCTGAAAAAAAAAACAACCCTGTACGTTCATTTGCAAATGAAGTGCAGCACTTGACTTTCCAGCATGTTGCCAGTGTGTCCCTGTTATCACAAAGTAAAGGTGACCTGTTATGAATCAAACTGAGCCGAAAGAAGCAAAACTCTTGGGAGTTCAGAGTGCTGAGCACTTCCCCGGATTGCACCTCACAGACATGCTGGTGTGTGGTGTGGTTATGACACGCCCCCCAAATCACAGATAGTGTTAGATGTCCAGTTCCACACTGGCTGTGATTTCTTCCTGGAGCTTTTACCTAGAAAAATAGAAGTGGTGGAGACTAACAAAACACGCTAGGAAGGTGGATTTAGTAGTGTCCTGCTGCAAAACTGTTACGAAGATTTACCAGCCTACACACAAAATACTCACCTGCTATTTACCAGAATGATGGATGTTAATAATCACACTAACAATGTTTTATTCACCAGCCAAAATAAAAAACTTGAACCAGCAAAGGATTGAATTTTGAAAACAATGAACCAGATTTTGCTCTCACTTACATTGATGTAACTTGGCTCCAGAGGAGTTACTCCTGATTTTCACCCATGTAAGTGACAGCAGTATCAGCTCCCTTGCCTGTTTTACTGTTATCTATGCACTAGGTCAGGTTGGAATTTTGGACCATGTTCAGCACTTTCTGTGCAGGATCCTTGTTACCAGTTATTATTACTTTCCTGAAGAAACCCTCAAAAACAGCTTCAGGATTTACTACTCTGTTTGTAGGGTTGCTCTTCTGTAAATCTCAACTTGCAGTTATGTTGTTTTGAACGGTGATCTAGTTACAAGAAAAATCTTTCCCTTAACGAGGAATATCACTTTAATATTCCAGTGTAGTGGCCCAGTATCTTTCTTACAATGGCTCTGTGAAGTTCTAATGAACACCATGGACAGTTTTGACATTAGACTAATCAGAAGAATGGAAGCTGACACAGTTTGTATGAGGTACAACTAATTGAGGAAATACCTATCTGCTAGTGGATTGCAACTGTTGCTCAATTCTAACACCTTTTCTTGGTGCTAACGTCATTTTAGGATTTTATGGCTCTTGGGCACATATACAGAATGAGCCCTCTGATAATATTGTGATCTGCATGTGAGGATCTGTGGTAAGAATTTGGCTGTTTGATACTGCACAGAATTTGGTCAGTAACTCGGGCAAATTTGCAGAAAGCAGAAAGAGGGTTTTGGCAAATGGGATTATGGATAAAGTCAAACAGGCTTTTTTACTTTTTGTGAATTTGAAAAATGTCTTCATGGCTCAATATTCCCGAAGACAATAAAAGTATTTTCTGGCCTAACCTAAGTTTAATGTATTTTTCATTTTTAGTATTATAAAAAAACCCACTGTTCAATAATTATTTATCATTTTTATATTTTAAGGTGGGAACCTGCCCTCCGCATGACTCCAGATGAAGCAATGCAGCACGCATGGATCCAGGAACCAAGAATACATAAATCAAAACAAAATCCCCACTCTGCAAGTGAAAGCTCCTTCTTCACACTAGAGAAGAAGGAGAATGTACATAAACACACACTGCCTGGACAAGGAGGTGCAGTAGTCTGAATATTTGAAGTTCTTTATTCTTAATAATGTTTGTCTCTTGTACGTGTTGGCAGTTATGATTTCTAGAGGCCTTCATGTTTGAGCAAATAGCTTTGTTAAAAAGGAAGGATGAAGTAATGTAAAATGATGGAATGCTCCATAGAATCATTGGCCATACCCACAGCCACAGCATCCTCCATTGGCCACACTACCTCTTTCCTGCTTCTTTGGTAGAAACACAGAGTTACCCTGCGGGTCATGTGGTTTATCTGCAGCCCGACAAGGTAAATATAACAATTAAAGTCCCATAGGTTCATGCAGAAAGAGCCTTCATACAGTTATATTGGTAGAAAAATAATCAGAGACAGCATCTACAATCCATCCACAATGCACTTTAGTTCTTAGGGCAGAAAAAATGCATGGGGGTTGGTGGGTCTGCTCCTCTGAAATGCTGAGGAAATAATTGATTGGCCCTTTGCAGGTTTAATGTGGGCCTGCAGACACGTTACAGTTTCACACTGTCGTTTTATTTTATTTCGTACAGAAGAAAACACCTGTCAAGATATGGTTGATAAAGTAAAATGTGAAATGACTGAAAATCCTACTGCTGCAACTGAAAGACTAACTCTCAATGCACCTTCCTCAGACACAACCAAACAGGTTATTCCAGAGGAAGATCTGGAAAACCCAGTGGAAAAAGCTATCAAAAGAGACAAAGCAGGACATAGCAGTGAAACAGCTCTTCACAAAAATTCAATGTTCTTACCACCAATTAAGTAACATTCTGCACAAGCAGCTACTGGTCTGGTTTCTATACCTGCCTGGTATGTTTTGTAGGTAACCATTTAACTGTACAATATTCAAGAACATCATTTTAAATTATAACTCTCCACACATGGGCTGTGCACATTTGTAGACATTTTTAACCTAGATTAGTCCAGGTAACCAAAGCAGAATGTGCGTTGAACGTTCCTGAACGTTACCAACTTTCTTGTTGTGATCAGAGATTCTTCACAACCCACAGCAATATTTTTAATAAAAAGGAGACTCTAGAGGTGGATAGAGACTTATTCTTGATATTATACTGGGCACTTGCATTTAAGGATTCCTGCTTCTTGGGAGTTAAAAGCCTAGAAACCACAGAGATCATAGGGTCTGAATCTCACCCCATTTAAACCAATATAAATCATAAATAATTCTACTGAGGTTAGTGGATTTATACCAGTGTAAATGAGAGAAGAATCAAACTCATAGTGTCTCCCTCTCTGAGAGGGGAGAGTCAGATACGGGCCATTGGCAGAACCTCTGAACAGAATTAGAAACCCAAGTTCTATAGTGAGGTGCAGACTGCAGACCAGGTATTTATAAAAGGCAACAGGAGAGAAGGCTAACAAGCCAGGGTGTGCATTACACCCTTCTACAGGGACCCCATTCCCTTTTATATCAAACCAGAAGGGTGGATGAAAGAGAGAGTCAATGTCCAGGTGAATGAGCCCTCAAAGGGAGGCTGACTTAATTCATTACAAAATCAGATTTATATGACTGCCAGCCCCAGTCGTTAACCTCTCTTTTGACATGTCTGTACAGCACCCAGCACAATGGGGATCTTATCCCTGACTGAGGCTATAGGTGTTACAAATAAGAGTAATAAGGGAGCTGTCCTACAGGATACAGGGAATACCATCTCAGTGCTCTCACAGTGTTCCCAGAGCAGAAGAGCAATTGGGTTACTGGAGTCACACTATCACACATAGGCTCTACAGGCAGGGAAAAAATCCTGCAGGACATAGGAATGATCATAACAATGATCTCACAAAGGACCAAGCCAGGCAAACTGTCCTGTAGGATACAGGGTGACTGTATCAGTGACTTCCCAGAAGCCCCATACCAGGTGAGCTTTCCTACAGAATAGAGGGTTGACTGTATCAATGACCTCACAGAGGTGTTGGGCAGGTAAACTGTCCTGGAAGATATAGTATGCGGCCTATATCATGTATCTTAGAAAATGTTTGTGCTAAGGGCAAGGGTGCAAGGAACTGCTAAGAGCCAGCAAAGGCATGAAGGCAAGAGGATAAATTGGATGTCAGAGATAGAGAGAGCACAGAGTTCAGCAACTGGAACTGTTTGAAGTACTATCTACATACCATCAGGTTCCTGCTTGACACTGGAAACTATGGGAAGCCCATGAGTATCCAACTGAAATGCTGATTACCTGTCGGACGCTGCTGATAGTTCTCACAACATTACTACCTGAAACATCCCTGCAATCAAACACTGAAAAACAGACTATCACCACCTTCAGAATTGTAGTTGAATGGCAGAGGGGGAATTCAGGCTGTTTGAATTGGATTATTATTCATTCTCCCTAGCTATTGTGCTTAGTGACTTAGATGCTTAGATTACTCTCATCTAAAATATCTGTTCTCCTCTCAGAGTTTCGCACTTGTATATTTGTCTGCTCCAATTTGGATCAAATTGGGACTGCAGCCATTCTTTACTGCACTGGAGTTCTCAGAATGAAACTATGGACACAGTTTGGCTCATTGCGTCATTGCTGCAATTGCATTCGCTAGTTGATCTGATTTGCAGAGAACATCTTCCAGTAGCTTTATTATATTCTCTGGCACGTAGACTGGTATCTCCCAACTTCTCAGTAAACCTGCTGTTGAATATCTCAAGAGAGTTCTCAGTGCTGAGAGTGATGTGACATAGAAAATCATCTGACACTGGAATTCAGTCTAACCATCCTCTCACTGATCAGAGGCAGAGTCTATGTTGATGGTATTTGAGTATAGTTGCATGGCTCCATATTTCTTTCTTATTTTCCTTCCTTGTTTCCACATTTTTCATGTTAAGTCATCAGCCTCCACATCCATCTCAACCATGGTCAGCTCCTTCACTCTCGCCGGACAGTGTCTCCTTTAGTTAAGGATCAGATTCATGCTCAGAGACCACAGTGATGAGCATTGGGTATAAATCCCTAGAAAGGCAGGCAGTCAGCTCTTCCCTTCAGGTGCCTCCACTGCCCTCAAGTTCTCCTGCTGAACAGAAAAGAGTGGGTGTGGCCTATCATGTACATGTAGCCCTCCACCTGTGGTCAGTGCTCTGCTCATTCTACCGAAGAACGGGCAAAGTGACAAATTGTTGCCAGCCAAAAGAACACCTGAATGACACATAGTTTGAGAAGCCCAATTTACAGACCTTATTTTATCCCTATAGGATTAAATGTACATTATCTTTCCTTTTTTATAGTTCTTTCTTTAAAAATGCATTATGGAACCTGTTGTCTGTAAATAATAATCACACTGTGCCCTTTTGTAGCACCTTGTACTCAAGAACTAAAGGCATTTTGCAGATATAAATTAAGCGCCACAACACCCCCCATTAGGCTGCATAAGTATTATTAGGGCCGTTGATTAATCACAATTAATTCACGTGATTAACTAAAAAAAATTAATCGCGATTAAAAAAATGAATGACTATTAATTGCAGTTTTAATCGCATTGTTAAATGATAGAATACCAATTGAAATTTATTAAATATTTTTGGATGTTTTTCTACATTTTCAAATATATTGATTTCAAATACAACACAGAATACAAAGTGTACATTGCGCACTTTATATTATTATTTTTGATTACTAATATTTGCACTGTAAAAATGATAAACATAAGAAATTCACCTCATACAAGTACTGTAGTGCAATCTCTTTATTGTGAAAGTGCAACTTAACAATGTAGATTTTTTTTGTTACATAACTGCACTCAAAAACAAAACAATGCAAAACTTTACAGCCTACAAGTTCATTCAGTCCTACTTCTCATTCAGCGCATTGCTAAGACAAAGAAGTTTGTTTACATTTACAGGACATAATGCTGCCTACTTCTTATTTACAATGTCACCAGAAACTGAGAACAGGGATTAGCATGGCACTTTTGTAGCCGGCATTGCAAGGTATTTATGTGCCAGATACGCTAAACATTCGTATGCCCCTTCATGCTTCGGCTACCATTCCAAAAGACATGCTTCCATGCTGATGAAGCTTGTTAAACAAATAATGCGTTAATTAAATTTGTGACCAAACTCCTTGGGGGAGAACTGTATGTCTCCGACTCTATTTTACCTGCATTCTGCCATATATTTCATGTTATAGCTGTCTCGGATGATGACTCAGCACATGTTGTTCATTTTAAGAACACTTTCACTGCAGATCTGACAAAACGCAAAGAAGGTACCACTGTGAGATTTCTGAAGATAGCTACAGCACTCGACCCAAGGTTTAAGAATCTGAAGTGCCTTCCAAAATCTGAGAGGGACGAGGTATGGAGCATGCTTTCAGAAGTCTTAAAAGAGCAACAGTCCGATGCGAAAACTACAGAACCCGAACCACCAAAAAAGAAAATCAACCTTCTGCTGGTAGCAGCTGACTCAGATGATGAAAATGAAGATGCGTTGGTCTGCACTGCTTTGGATTGCTATCGAGCAGAACCCGTCATTACCATGGACGCATGTCCTCTGGAATGGTGGTTGAAGCATGAAGGGTCATATGAATCTTTAGCGCATCTGGCATGTAAATATCTTGTGACGCTGGCTACAACAGTGCTGTGAGAACAACTGTTCTCACTTTCAGGTGACATTTTGAACAAGACGTGGGCAGCATTATCTTCTGCAAATGTAAACAAACTTGTTTGTCTGAGCGATTGGCTGAACAAAAAATAAGACTGAGTGGACTTGTAGGCTCTAAAGTTTGACATTGTTTTATTCTTGGATGCAGTTATTTTTTGTACATGATTCTACATTTGTAAGTTCAACTTTCATGATAAAGAGATTGCACTACAGTACTTGTATTAGGTGAATTGAAAAATACTATTTCTTTTGTTTTTTACAGTGCAAATATTTGTAATAAAAATAAATATAAAGTGAGCACTGTACACTTCGTATTCTGTGTTGTAATTGAAATCAATATATTTGAAAATGTAGAAAACATCCAAAAATATTTAAATAAATGATATTCTATTATTGTTTAACAGTGCGATTAATCACACGATTAATCGTGATTAATTTTTTTAATTGCTTGACAACCCTAATTATTATCCAAAGTCATACAGCAAGTCAATGTCAGAGCCAAGAATAGAACCTAGGAATTCTGACTCTGACTCCCTGTTCTCTCTCCTACTTGATCTTAAATTAAATTATGTATAATTTACTTAATGTTGCTAAATATATTGTCATGTTACTCATGTAATATTCTTAAAACACTACATTCTTAAAACAACAAAAGAAGTAGTCATTTATGCCTTTGCACCCTGGTTGTTAGATCCTCATTTAATACTGTGAGACATGGGCGCCAGGTTTGTATAATTTTTGGTGGTGCCCAGAATGGGTCCAAGCAGAGCCATCCTGTCCATAGGACAGACCGGGGCAACCGCCTTGGGCCCTGCACTTTGGGGGGCCCCACGCTTCAGGGGGATGCAGGGTCCAGGGCAGCCTGGGGAGGTTAGCGGGGGGCCTGGCGCCAGCAGCAGCGAGCACCCTGGCCCCAGCCCTCCCCGCTCTGCTCTGCCCCGCCCCACTGGCTCCCAGCGTCACTCGGAGGAGGAGGCAAAATCTGGAAAGAGGTGGGGTGGGGGCAGGGGCTGGGGGAAGGGGCAGAGTGGGGGTGGGGGCGGATCAGGGGTGGGAAGAGGCAGGGCGGGGCAGAGCGGGGTGGGCTGGGGCCTGATCGCTCACTGCTGCTGGTGCCAGGCCCCCTGCTAACCCCACAGTCCGTCCTGGACCCC